TCAATTAACTGCCAATTGTTCGATGTTTTTCCTACAATTAACACTCTGGCCGCGGACAAGCATAATTACGGTAGTTCACTATTGTTATTACCCTAGCTGACCCTTCTTAAGTACATCTGTGTTTTATTTTTAATCAATTCACTTTTTTTAGTAAATCATACAAAAGTTATGATTTTTAGAATACATATGTATCAAAAAGACACATTAGATAAAAAATTTACTTGTATATTTAAAGATTTACTGTGTTTAAGAGGGGGAAAAATGCATTGCAAACATGTTAATTGATACAAAAAAAGTCAAATTTAAAATGATCCTGTAGCAATTTTCCTCAGTATATATATCAAGCCACACAAGACGAATGCAAAAGTATTTTGAAATGACAACTGAATATAGCTGAGAGCTTTTATTAATTGCCTTCTTTATGAAACTGATTAAAGTATTTCTGAAGGCAATAGAAGATATAGCTACATGATTGTATAAATATAGCCTATAATTTTTATCATAATATTCGCTTATAAAAAAAATTTGAAAACACTGAATAATATTCACTGAATATCATTCTTAAAAGACCATCATTTTATGAACTTCTTTTTATTCATTGTAATCATAAAGTAATCAAAAAGTAATCATGATTACAAGACTTTTTTGAGAGTAATCGATTCAATTACGTTTACTTGTAATCAGAAAAATGTATGATTACTGATTACTTATGATTACTTGACAAACTGTAATCGAGTACAGCTGATTACGATTACTGATTACGATTACCTCATCCCTGCTGGGGTGAGGGTATTATTTGAACAAACTTAAATCTACACTAACTAAGGATGCTTGCATTTTCTTTGACTACCTGTGGGCTTTATTGCCCTTTACATTTGGACTTACATTGTGCCCCCCCCCCCCCCCAGCCCAAGAGAAATAAGACATATCATGGCTTTGCTGTCTTTGAAAAAAATTCACATATATTCCTAAGTAAAACTGTGCTCATCCATTGTGGCCCCACCCTTAACCCCCAGGGGTCATGTTAGATCAAAATTGCACTACATACCTGAGTCATCATGTTTCCATATAAATACATGTATATGACCAATCATGACTTTGCTGTTTTTGAGAAGAAGATTTTTAAAGAATTTTTCTATATATTTCTATGTAAAACTTTGATAGGCCAATTTGTTGCCCCACCCTATCACCAGGGGTCATGATTTGAACAAACTTGAATTTACACTACCCGAGAATACTTCCACATAAATATGACGAATCATGGTTTTGCTATTTTTGAGAAGATTTTTAAAGAGCTTTCCTATATATTTCTATGTAAAACTTGGCCATTGTGGCCCTACTCTATTCCCATGAGTCCATGATTTGAACAAAATTGAATCTTATATACATGAGGATCACTGCTGCTTCAATATAAATATGATCAATCATGGCTTTGCTATTCTTATGAAGGAAAATTATAAATAAAGAATTTTCCTATATATTTTTATGTAAAACTTTGATCCGCCATTGTGGCCCTGCCCTACCCCAGCCTACCCCGGGGGTAATGATTTGAACAAAACTGAATCAACACCACCTGAGAATGCTTCCATATAAATATGACCAGTCATGGCTGTACTGTTCTTGAGAAGAAAATTTTTATAGAATTTTCCTATATATTTCAATGTAAATCTTTGCCATTGTGTCCCCGCCCTACCCCCAGGGGTCATGATTTGAAGAAAATTGAATCTACACTACCTGAGGATGCTTCCATATAAATATGATCAATCATGGCTTTGCTGTTCTTGAGAAGAAGATTTTTAAAGAATTTTCCTATATATTTTTATGTAGAACTTTGATCGGCCATTGTGGCCACACCCTACCCCTGGGGGTCATGATTTGAACAAACTTGAATCTACACTTCCTGAGGATGTTTCCCCATAAGTTCCATCTTTCCTTGTACAGTGGTCCTTAAGAAGAATGTTTTTTAAACATGACATCAAATTTTCACTGTTTTTGAATTATCTCCCCTTTAATGAGGATGTGACCCTGCACTTGAACAAACTTGAATTCCCTTTATCCAAGGATACTTTGTGGCAACTGTAGTTGAAATTGGCCCAAGAGTTCTGGAAAAGAAGCCGAAAATGTGAAAAGTTTACAGACAGACAGAGGGCTATAGACAGACAGACCGATGGCGGACAAAATATGATCAGAAAAGCTCAATTGAGCTATCAGCTTAAGTGAGCTAAAAATGTTCTTCTCAAGAACCACTGGGATAGAAAAGCTGAGATTTGTGTGAAAGCAACATGGGGTAGAGAAGATTGTAAATTGTTTAAATCATGATTCAAAGGGGGGGGGGGGGGGGTGGTTGGGGGTAAGGCAGGACCACAATTAGGAATCTAAGTTTTGCATTGAAGTATAAAGGAAAAATCTTTAAATATGTTCTTTTTAAGAACCAAAGAGCAAGAACGTCCTGGGGTAGTGTAGATTCTCAGTTTTTTGAATTGTCATTTTTGTACACATAAGAAGGAGATCAGAGTCTTTAGAATACAGGCCTTTAGATCGCTTTAAAAATTTTGTGTGTATTTTTTTTTCTAAGCAATCTAAAGGCTTGTGCTTTAAAATGAGTAATTTGTGAATTGAATGGACTTGCATGCACATCAATAAATAACAATAAAGACTGGGTGATAGGAACTGTACTTCTCAAACTCAAAAGTACACACTGTACATGTTTTTACCTATTAATATGTAATATGTCCTCTAGTTTAAAAATTAAAAATCTAGTTTAGAAATGTATAAGGCCCAAGAAGGTGTTTCTATATTCCATCCCTTCTAGATATGTAAGATAGGTACATTTGATATATCGGTAAGAGATAATCATGTATGTCAGAATGAATACAGTAAAAAAGCTAAGATTTATTGTGAGAATTTTTTTTTAATGATGGTCAAGAAAATTTTTCAAAAATGCAAATTCCTATCCAGTTATTAATCAGTAAAGATTACATTTTGGTCACCAAAGATATGTTTATTTTCAAATATGAAAATGTGAATAGTTACTAAGAATACAAAGAAATTCCATGGTGGAAATAAAATGTATTTCATCATTAGGAATAATATTTTATGTTGAAGTAAAAATTAAGGCACATTGTTAACATCTGTCAACCATCATTAACTAAAATCAATTGAAAAAAATTAAAACTGTTAATCACCAGTAACCAAAACGAAGTAATTTTTGAAAACCATTATAAATGACTGCTTAGATTTCTAAAATTTAAAATTCTAGTTTTCCTGGTGGCTATTATTGTTCCCAGCTAGGAATATAACTTCTAAAATAAATGCCAAATTTCTTACAGGTTGATATGAGAATTACTAGAGTATATTCAGGGCTGTTAGATACAAGTCATTAAAAAACAAGATCTCTATAACTTAGTGTAAATGTTATTTTATTTTTTTTTTAAATTTATTCAACATATTGACTGCTGTAATTTGAAAATGAATACTAGTAACAGCAATTAGTTCATTGTTGTGCCAATTTGCTCCAACATTTCCCAACCTCGAAAACTGCATATTCTTTGAGGATCATACTTTCTTATATGATTGCCAATATTTCTTAAAATAATCACTGGTTTTACATTTAAAGGCTAATTGAATCTTCAATTTATACTCTTTTTAGTTAAAATCTAAAATGTAAAAAAAAATTGCATTAACTTGAATCGGAATTCACTTAAACCTAGTACATGAATGTATCCCTTACTCAGATAAGTATACATGCAATGACTTTCACAACATAACGGTTGTATAACATTGAATTTATTATTGAGTTATTGTTTAATTTTAATTTTTTTTTTTTTTACATAATATTAAATCTAAAATTTAATTTTGAAAGCAATTGGTTTATTTTTGTCATCAAAGTGCAATATTTTCTCTGAAAAGCAAAATTAAAAAGCTAAAAAGTCATTTTAAAATATATTTTTTAAAAATTTGGTTTACATGGCAACATAAAATTTAAGATTTAAAAAAAAATACATTATCAATTTTAAAAACACAACATTTGCTATATATCTGCCAAATTTCAAGCAAAGTGGTTGTCAACATTTTCAGATATTTGCATTTAAGTACACCATTGTGATAATTTTGTTGATATTCCAAAACAACTCAGTCCTGAGGTTTCAGCTCGTGTAAAACAAGTCGGCACACAAAGAGTTAAATTAATTATTTAATAAATTTAATAACATTTTTTATTACCCCTATTCTTTAAAGAGTGTCGTGTTATCTAATGTCAAAAACAAGCAATTACGACGTCAGTCTAAATATCAGTTAAATTTTTTTTTTTGAGGATCAGTTATTTAAAATTGTAATAAAATTTTTCAACCCTTAATTTCTTAGTTTTTGTTTAGTTTTATTAATTAAAAGAAAAAAGTTGCTTTAAAACAGTAAATACAGTTCATTTCACTGTGTTGCGTGAAATATTGCGCAATGGAAAACCTTGTCGGCCCTATTAAATACGTAATTTAGTGCACTGGATTTTGATTTAGATGAACAATGTTGCCATGAATAATAAAATTAGAAATATTTGTGAAATTCCTTTAAAATGCTACTCCTCATACAGTTTTGATCTGATTTCAATATAACTTGGCACACTAGTAGACCAAGATACATAACTTACTGCATCTGTTTTCTTTTCTTTTTTATTTTTTTACCCCCTGGGGTAAACCTATACTACCTGAGGATGCTCCCATACAAATATGAATAATTAGAACATTGCTGTTTTTGAGAGGAATTTTTTAAAATTTTCCATGTAGATCTATACCTTAGTAACATTTTTATTGCCCATATTGGATCCATCCTACCCTTCCTAAGCCAGAAGACACCAAAAACCCTAATTATGTATATTTGGCAATTGCCAATAGCTGTCCCCAAAATTGAACTTGGATGAGGAAAGATTAAATTATGATGCAAACCACGGGAATGTATTAAGGCTAAAACAATTTCATCCATTTAAAACAGTCTATCTTAAATTTTAGACATGCAGCAGGGTGGTGACCATCCCAGTCACGATGTTGCTGATGACCTCATTCTGATGGAGCAGACCCATCGCCATGGTGACGACACAGATAAGGAAAGTCTCTGCAACATGGACACCTTTTCTTTGGACACCTCCGATGATGACAACACCAAGTGTGACGATTCCCTGTTTTCCCAATGGAAGGATCCCTCACCTCCTCAGCAGAAGTCCCTGTGGATGAACTTTGACAATGGGGATGTGTTCTACTCTAGCAATGGGGAGTTTCCTTCCATGAGTGACCTGACGGAAGAAGAGGGCTCCCATTCTGACTTTCCAACTTCATCTTGTTCCCTGCCCTACCCAAAGACCTTCCGTGGTAGCCCAACCTTAGAAGATCACAGCTCGGCTAGTTCCTCCTGTATGCCTTCTAGGAGTTCTCCACTCTACGAGGAGATGGCCTCACGAAGTTCTCCGCTCCATGAGGATGTAACGTCTGAGACCGGACAGCTCCACAACCTGATGCTGGCCCTCCAGGACCTTCAGTACCAAGGTGTTGTGGGAACTGGATTAGTCAACCCTAGAAGACCAGTGTTTGCTCTGGACGAGAAGGCCTGTGCTCTGTGTAAGAAGAATGGAGAGACCCGGGAGTTTTACACCACCCATGTGCTGAAGGACAATCGGGGAAAGATCATCTGTCCCATACTCCGCAAGTACGTGTGTCCTACATGTGGTGCCACCGGCGACAACGCCCATACTCTCCGACACTGCCCCGTCAACAAGGCCACGGAGCATGCTCGGTTTGGACAGTGAGCGCATTATCTTATCAGTGATCCTTATCTTATCAAAGAATTGTGATTTCTTAAAGACTTGATTGGTTGTGTTAAAATCTTTCAAACACAGTTGCGCTTTGATTCCATGAGGAATTCGTGAATATCAGAATTAAGCAAACATTTGTAAATATAATAGAAATGTGGCATGTAAAATAAATACATATATTCATGATATTTATGCAATGTAACTGTCATTTCAACAGCAGAATACATTTTATCTCAAATGTTTGGATCATGTTTTTTTTAATTCTTTGACTATGAACAAAATGTTATGCAGCACAAAATTTTAAATTATGAACTTCATAACTCCAATATTTTTATTATGAAATAAATTTCTGACCACCTGTACATGTATTTTCCAACAGATAAATTTTGAAATTCACTATCATTCCATTTAACATACTGAAGAAATGAGTTGAAGGTGAAATTTATGCACTCTAGTTCAAAACAGAAAAATTACCATTTCTTAAATGCCAAAAAAAATTTGATTGTATGCTGCATTCAACTTCTCAATCATTTCCCATTCAATAGAGTCTAAATACTAAAATCTGAATTGTATCTTTTTATTGACTGCCCTTCTTCAAACATTCTTCCAAATCATGTCTTTAATATTGTTATGCTTTCAAAAGATGACAAGTGACTAACTTTTAAACTTAGTTTATATTTTATTCAGTTGAAAACTTGCATTCATAAGAAAAATATATCCCCTTTTATATATGACAACAAAAAAAGTACTAAAACATATTATTGTATGCATGAAGACTATATACTTATTGCTTGTTATGACTTTGCTAACATTTTTAAATTGGAAATTGTTTACTTTATTTAAGATCTTCTTAGCATGCAGAAAACTGCTAATTAGAATTATGTTGTTTATTTCTGTTCTTTTGATTGCCAATTACATGTATATTATTTTTCCAGTTGTAATGTTCACATTCAATTATGGAAATAATTTTGCTGTTTATTTTTATGCACTTTTTAAGAAAGGTATTATCATTGCTACAGCATTGTGAAACACAAAATTTGAAATGCCTTTAAAATCATGATGGTGTATAATTATGTAGTACTGCTCAAAATCAGGGAAAGACATAACAATTTGCATATGGATTGCATGTTACTTGAAATGACTAAGGTATTAGTCTTGATATTTATTGTACAAAAGGATATTTTATTGCATGTAATGCATTTGAAACTTGTTTATAATAAAAATTATTTATTGAAATTGATCTTTTTTTTGCATTTCCCATTTCCCCAAAAAGTTGTGGTGGATTCTGATTTTAGAAAATTGCACTTATTGAAAAAATATATACCAGTATAAAATCTTATTAATCGAGAGCTAATTTGTAAAATAAAAATATGCCAATAGAAGTCAAGCTGAAGTTCATGTAAGGGTATATTTGCATACGGTAAATGTAAAATTACTCTTGCTCTCTGTTAAATTGTTTGTTTTGCTTATAATTAACTGTTATTGTCATAAAGTTGGGTAACAATTTAAAATAATGTAACACTTATCTAGACCTCAGAGAAACCAAGAATGTGCATCTTGCATAAAAGTAGAAACTTCAACAGGTTGGGACCACTTGCACAAATGGAATATTATATCCAGTATGGAATATAAATTTATAGTGCAAAAAATGATTTAAAAAAAAAGATTGCCAATAAATATCATAAATGCATATCAGAATACTAAAAATAGAATAAAGAACTTATGACAAAGAAGAAGGTACAGTTTGGGCTTTATTGCGCCCTTAAAATTTAATGTTCTTAAAAAGTTATGATATTGACTTTAACAAGAGTTGAGTAGATGAATATGATAAGGCTATCTAAATTTAAAAGAATTTTATTTTTCATTTTATTGGCAATAAAGGATGAGGGAGCTATTTTATTTTAATTTTAATTTTCGTTTTCTTTAATGATAAGATAATTTTTTTAATCACAGATATACTTTCCATTTCTGGTAAATTTCTATCCATTGCTTTGTAAACATCGTAGGTAATGTCCTCGAAATTTTCAGTAGCCAAAATCTCATTGCAAATGGCTACCGGAAGTGATATTTGAATACTAAACTATGAAACAAATCATTTTTTTTTCCTTTCTCCGCAATACCAACTATTTATTTTATCAAAAATACAATAAAATCGGCAATGCGGCTACCTCAAAATGGATGCGCGCGGGCACTACAATTTCAATTTTATATGACAAATCATAAAAGAATATGGCATGAATCTGCTTTATGAAATTAATTTGGTATATTTCTCAAAGTTTTTGTGGTGGATTCATTTTTGTGCTCATTTTCCTTTAGAAAATTCTACTACAATTTTTGAAAATTATGTAATCTGCTTTGAAAAATTATATCTCAAAGTTTTTGTGGGCTGCAACTTTTTAAGAAAATACAGGAAAATGCACAAGTTAATGATGTCATAATTAGCATCTCGCATGTTTAGGAGGTCATATGAGGAAAACAATTAGCCCCTTCACTGTAACTGCGGTACTTTTCTTCTGCAGGGCAAATTATTATCATTTGGCGGAGTTTTTGTTGATAGATGATTAAATGATGTTTCTTAAACAATCACTCTTACGTCATAAATCACCAAAGTACATCATTTTGCCCTGCAAAAGAGCAGTACCGTAGTTATCATGAAAGAGTCTATTTGTGTATTCTCACTGCATGGGATATTCATGATTCAGAAAGAATGAATTTAATTTCTTTTATCACTTTCATATTTTAGAAAAATACAGGGCTTAGTTTGTGTTGAAACTGTACCTTGTTCTTTCACTGCAATCTTACATTTTGTTAGATTAATCCCCAAGAAGCAGCTTTTTCCCTAAGAACCGGCTAACGGCCAAATTGACCGCTTCAATTGACAAAAATGCCATTTTTAAATAAAAATTTGGTGTTAGGTCCACAGAGATTTTGTTCATAAACCTCAGACCCTGGCCTGTTAGAACTTATCTATAACCCTTTACTTTGAAATTAAGGGAAAACACTGAGAAGTTAAGGAACTTCCGAGGGATCAATCTCCTAAACAATCGGGATAGTCTACTACAATTATTCCCTTTTACATGTTTTAGGTATCTTGATGCGGATTTAGGATACTGACGGCCAATATAAAAAATCTTTTGCACTGTAAATTTATAGCGAGCGCAGCGAGCGTCGCGCAGCGACGCTCGTAACTGCGAGCTCTAACGACAACGCCTGGGCGAAGAGAAAATACTACTGCACATTCATTCTTTAGAATTTTTTGCTGCAGTAATTTTGGCATCACTTAGCAAAGTTGCGTTCTCGCGAGAATGACGGCAAATGTTCAACAAAAAGTTTACTCGCCTTGATTAAATGGATACATATTGAAGATAAATTGTAAACGTAACTTTTTTCATTAACTTTCAGCACTGTTCAGTTTTTCTTGGTATTTGTAACTTACAAACGTCATGTGACGTCAGAGTCTAGACGCACCAAATGTCACGTGCGGTTTGACGAGCCCGATCTAAATTAAAACAATGGAAGAGTTTGCGCTCGCTCTAACGGTCGCACCGTCAACATATTATCCCATTTTGGATATTTTTACCCTTTGGGATTTAGGAACCAAACTTGGGTGTTGGATCTGCTAGCCTAATGAAAATGACCTCTACTGCCCCGAGGCTAGAGCTCCAAAAGTCAAAACATTCACAATCCAAACCAATATTCATAAATAATGATCTCGTTCCTGATTACGTGGTTTTCTGTTTAGAAATGCTTGACTTTGTTTCTTACCATTAGAACACGCAACACTTGCACGTAAATTCCTAAACACTGAAAAGCTGACTCTCTGCATGGGAGCTGCCATCTTGATTTTTTGACAAGTCGTTCTTCGAAAAGGAGTTACAAATTATAAAATCACAATGATTCAGACGATTTTTTAAACTTGGTCAATATTAAGATTTGTGGTCCTTAATTTACAGTGGATATTGTAGCTACAATTTTCTTAAATCCCAAAATTATATATGTTATCGAATATAAAATTGACGCAAGTCTTTTTTTTTTAAGGCCTATAACGCTACTTTCACTTTACCTTGACCTACTTTTGGTAGAGACTTGGATAACTGACTAAAATGAATGCAAAGGTAATATATAGATGTAGATGAAATTACTAATTAAAAATGAATAATTCAGTGGACTTAAAACTTGATACTGCATCCAAATAACTTTGGAGCAGACCACGACATGCAATGATTTGTGTACATATCGCATGTGTATAGACTGCTACGTGCCATATTACTGCCACCATGCAGGTCTTATGATCTCGTATCTTATTTGAGTAAGCATGGGTGAAAGGCACTCTTCAAATTTTTTACAGAAACAAACAACAGTGTTACTTATGATAGTTTTTACAATTTAAAAAGAATAAGAATATATTTTTATCATGATTACAGATAAATATGTACCATTGAGAAGACTTAGATGACTGATGCGAGTTTCATTGCGTTCTTATGCATGTTCTGATTTTCTAAATACTATACAATTCAGGACTCTTATGATGTTGAATATGGTTTGTTATTCACCAGAAAAATATCAATATTGACCGAGGCGAAGCTGATGTCAATATTGATATTTTTCTGGTGAATGACAATTAAAAAGCCATTTTCAGCACCATAACGAGTTAATTATCTCGTTATAACGAGTAATTGCTTTATTATTTTGTTATAACGAATTTGAATAAAATAATCTCGTTATAACAGTTATGTTATAATGGCTGCGAGTTAATTATCTCGTTATGACGACATTTATAACGAGTTAATTTTTCATAACGAGTACATCATAACGAGTTAAAACTTGAATCTAAGTGATTTTTATAAAAATTTGTTAAGTTTATAGTGTGTATGATAAAGATTTTTATTGCAGCAAACTAGTTTTTTTTTGAGTTGTGCCTGTGATTGTATTCTGTTTATGTATAAACGTGCAAATTATGTGTATTGTATAAAAAGACCGGAGACAAATACATGTACATGTATACGGAAACTTATGACTGCCTCTTGATGTTGTTTATGTCAAACATTTTTCGCCCATGGCCTCATTGCTGACTGTTCCCCCTAAACATTTCTGACTCTCATTATATATACACTGTAGGTTGTTTGAGATTCCTATTATAATGTATTAATTTAGGTACTAAGACATTGGTTATGAAAGCAATAAGCCCAAAACATATCAGAAAAATTAGTGTCTTTTACACGCAAATTAAAATTGCAACTTTTGATCAATTTTAAAGTGAAGTATACGGCATTAAAACAAATTTTTAATCCAGTTAATATGTTATATCGAGTTATTAACTGTTATTACGCGCTTTATAGATTATTCGTTATAAGAGACTATAACGAGATAAACTGTTATAATAAAATTCGATAACGAGATTAATTCGTTAGGTTTAGGTTATCACAATCTCAAAATAACCTCGTTATAACGAACAATTTTCGTTATAACTTTTAACTCGTTATCACGATATATAACTATAACAATAGCAACAAATTAAAAATATACGAGATAACTAATTCGTTATAACGAGAAAAAATAACGAGATTAAGTTATAACGAGTCTTGTTATAATGCCTCATTATAACTTTTTATAACGAAACCTTAACGAGATTAATTTATAACAGTCTTGTTATAACTATATTTGATGGTGTTATAACAATTGTTATAACGGATTAAGTCGTTATAACAGATATTTTTATAACGAGTTAAATATTTTTTTATCATATAAGAAATGAGCCTATCCGGCTTTCGTACAATTAAACCATTTTCAGCACCAAAAGAGTCCATATTAAATTGCTTTATTATGTAGTCCAAATTTGAATAAATAAGACAGTGAAGGCTGCATGACAACATTTTCCTTTACAAACCTACATCATTGAAAAATTTTTAAAAATGTCATGATTACAGTTTGTAGCCTCCGTGTTGTCCTTTTGAGTTTCACAATGTGTAAGACGTCCAAATTATGTTTATAAAAATAATCCTGTTGTTTGTCCTTTTTCCTGCCAGATAATAGCTGGCTGTGACTGTTGTAACCATGCATTGTTTACAAGGTTGTTTGAGATACTGATTGTGACGCCTGACAATGCCGCGATGCACACGCTCTGACCCTCCGGTGAATACGGCTTCAAATCCAGTGAATATGTAGCGTTATGAACTGTTTGCGCTTTATAGATTATAAAGAGACTATAAATAAACTGTATAATAAAAGATATTAGTGTCAGGTTTAGGTTTCACAATCTCAAAATAACCTGCAACAATTTTCAACTTTTAACCTTACTTGTAACTACAATAGCAACAAATTAAAAAGATACATACTCAACAGAAAAAAAATTAAGGGTCATGCCCTTACTTTTGTGAAACCTTTTAATTTCAATCCTATATTTGATGGTGCAATTGTTAGGATGAGTGCAGATATTTTTTCATTTATTAATTTACATATGTCTCCTCATACCACACGTAACATTTTAATTTGTACATCTAGACTCTGACGTCACATGAGATCTTTGTAAGTTGCGTTACCAAAAGCATATTAAGCTTATACATTGATATTTTACTGTAGAGTGTTTAACTTATTGTTTTCTGCAAAATCCATGAAATCAAAATGATTATTTTTTTGTTGAACTTTTGTTGCTTCTGTGAAAACATATTTTTTTGGCAAGATGCAATTTGCAAGGCATGATGGGAACTCTGGTTATTGCTGAAAGAATTCATTTGGATAATTGGACAAAGTACATGTATGTCAAATTGAAAAGCTAAGGTCCAAGCTGGGGTAAAAATGTTGGCATTCAAGGAAAAGTCTTCTCTCAGAAGATTGAATTTAACATCTCTGAAGTATGAAGGCCATAGAATTAAATTTTCAAAAGTTACATCTAAAGTTAAAATTTGGTAAAATTTGGCAAAAGTTGGTCAAACTCAAAGGTCAAGAGCTCTAAAGTTAAAATTTGGTAAAATTTGGCAAAAGTTGGTCAAACTCAAAGGTCAAGAGGTCAAAAAAAGGTCTTGTCATAAGGAATATACTTGTAAAAGACAAAGGCCATTGCTTTACCTTAAATCAAATATTTGTTGGACAAACAGACAGATGGTTGAACAGGGCAAACACTGATATGAATCTTCATTTTTAGGGACATAAAATGGTTCCTTGTTTCCTCAGACATTGATCTATGCAAGCTAGGATACCAAATTTTTCATTGTTAAAGCTTTCAGTGCGTGCATATATCTGGAGGGGGGACTTAAAATGATATATCCAATTATTTTTCAACAGTGTCCATAATATATCTTAAATTTAAAAAAAAAAAAGAAAAACAAGATTTAGTTGAAACAAAGGTATTTTCTATTTTACAGTATGCTAACACTGGAAAATGTAGGTTAAATGTATGGATAATTCAGACAGATTGCCGACTGTAATGTGTAATATCAAATCACACCCATAGTTCTATCATTGAGATGTGTGCAAAATTGGAACACGGTGACTGTGAAGCTGCTCAATCTTATGCATGGACATGATTGATAGTTAAGGACACATGTATTTAATTAAGTATGCATGTACGTCATCGTTGGATGTAAAATTTTCAAATAATTTTATTTCACATTATGAAAATGGATCATAATGTTGTGTTATTCAGTTACAAACTTGAGAAATTTTTTGTATAGTTCTAAAGTGTTCCTATTGAATGTTGTATTTCTGAGTAATGCAGTTACAGATTGAAGTTCGCTGATTCCTTTTTCCTTTTAACAGCTCACCACTGCCATAGAGGTTTACAAGCGACTGGTTTCCCACCCAGAGCCGGTGGTAGCCTGGTTCTCTTACAATGGCATACAGAGCCAGATTGTGGTTAACTCGGTCTGGAACCAGAGTGACCTTGACAGATTGGAGAAGGTCAAGTTCACAAAAAGTTACCTCGTCAATGAAAGCAGTCCTGCCAAGTTTGAAGTAATTCACAGGAAGATTTCTACAACAGATAGTAATATGTAAGTATAGATCTAAAATTTTAGTAAAATTTTGTTATAATAAAATGATATTAAAAAAAGTGGTACTTAGAAGTAAAATAAGTTATAAAACTATTTGCGGCTCATTTTAATAGTGGTTGAAAAATACTGTATAATTTCTTTGTGTTTTAAAATATACTTCTGGTATTAAGAATATTGTTTGTTCTTTGAAAACCTATCTTGAAATTTATTTTAGAAGTTTTGATGAATTTTCAGTATGTATAATGAAGAAGCCCCCTCAGGGAAATTTAATGCCATAGTCCGCAAATTCACGCCAAAAAAAGGAGGAGAGGAAAAACAATTCATTGAGGTGGGAACAAAAATATGAGAGAATATGCACATAAAGCTAAACTCATTATCCAAATGCAACTGATGAAAGAACTTGGAGATACACATGTATTTATTGATTTAGCTAAAGATATAAAGGGTAAAATGCTTAAATAATAAGTGGTTGCAACTTGTAAGTCACTTTAATTAACATAACTATGGTATCCAGAATATCAGTGTTTGTGGTACTGCATGAAATTAAACTGTATTAGTCATCTTGTACTTTTAGCAAAAAGATCATTTAAAATTCAATGGACATATGTTCTCTGAATATTCATGAGATGATTTTTTAAATCATGCAGACAGACATGCAGACCTTCTTCTGAGGACAAAAGTTTACTGATTTTTTTTATTACCAATACAGATTTGGAATCACTGCAAAAAGATAAAACAGTTTGACATTCTAGGCAAAGAGAAACATGGGAAGATTTGCACCAAGGATGGTAATATGATATGTGAAATTTCATTAAGTTTATCTGAAATACCGTATAGCGGGTTTTCTTGACGGGTGTAAATTTGCTTATCCTGAAAGGTACTTTTGATTCATTTCATTGACCAACCAAACTTTGAGAGGTATTTTTCTCATTTGCTTGCTTTCAAATTTATTAGATTTGACTTTTTTCTACAGGACAGTTTGGGTGTCTACACTGGTCTCAAGATGAAACAAAGCTATTGTATGTATCAGAGAGAAAGACTCCCAAGACCGTGTCTTTCTTTGATTCCAAGAAAGGAGAGGGAGATAAATCTGAAGAGGAACTTCCTGTCAGGGTATATACAGAGTTTTCTCCCTTGAAATGCAGTAACACTTACATGAATTAGAATTAATACAGTAGGTAATAATAATCTTATCATTAATTTTAATCTTTTTGAAAATTTAGTTGTAAAATGTTAAAAGTGTAGATCAATTGAGGTTTAATACTTGCAATTTCCTTGCAAGACAGATTTTGGATTAAAGCAATGTGCTGACTTTTAATATTTATTAGTGTCATTAACTGTCTATAGAAAACTCATGATGTTTTTACCATGTTAAGGTAAATTGATATACATTTGGCTAGAACACAATTATTTTGAATCCAAGGTCAAAAGTTATGCTCATTTATGATTCATGGCCCATCTTCCTGATGTATAACAAGTACCGACAGACATCTAACTGTAATTTAGAAAAAATTCATTATTTGAAAGTTTTTAAACTTACTTTTATTTCTTTCTCAGGGTCGTGAACATGATTTTAAACAGGACTGGGGGGAACAGCTGGTAGGAAAACACAAGCTGGCATTAAATGTCCTGGACCTAGACAGTGGAGATATAAATACACTGGACACCCTTCCTGATGATCTCACTGTTGGACAGGTAAAAATTGTGTACATTATTACTGAAGAACATTAAAATCAAGAATTCTTTTTATTAGGCCAGCTATATACTGTGGATTCCTAAATGTACACAAGCTAGGAATTAATTATTGCATAATGTAATAAACCTTACAAGATATTTTCGCAAAGTAAAATCACTCACTTTGGTTCTTAGGAAAGTCTAAAACAAAAACCTTTCTTGTCATTAAATACTTGCATAAAATAAGGAATTTACTGTATAAATAAAACTTTCATCAACATTGTCATTTGCATACATCTCTATAAAAAGCAATATGATTAACAGTTATGATTATGATAACAATACAGGCCATTTGGACTCCAGATGATGGGATTGTATTTGTGGGATGGAAGCATGACCCATACAGACTGGGACTGACCTATTGTCCAATCAGACAGCAAGTTATTTATAGTTTCTGTGCTTTCTAAACTGTGATAATTTAAAATTAATACACATCTGTTCATAGACCATAATTTGTGAAATGTATGCATAACCTGATTGTTGAATGCAAAGTTAATTTATATTTGATCAGGTCGTTTAATTTTTCAGGTCAGCAATATATCTTTGGGATTCCAAAAAATCATCCATAAGTAAGTTTACTTTCAAGTAATTTGCTTGGCTAAGGAATCCTAATTAACCACATTTAAATGTATATTGTTTTTTATCCAAAAAGAGCAGTTGAGTGAAGAGGGCAGGGCTAGCTGGTTACCAAGGTTAAGTCTGGACGGGTCTAAGTTGATTTACCTTGACAATGATGTAGGAGGGCCACACTACCAGTGTTCTAGGCTGATGATGGTAAGTGGTGCTATTTCTCTCTTAATCTCTCAAAATCTCTTTTAATCTCTCTCTCTTTTTCTCTCTCTCTCTCTCTCAATCAATCTCAGTCTCTCAAAAATTATGTTAATTAAAAATTACATGTACATATACTTGCGTAAGATATTTTGATTTTACATACATTTTGAATATTACTGCAACATTTAACAAATTATCTATTATGAAGACACACAGTTTCTGTATAAATTTCAGTGGTAAACACATCTATTGAGTACCCCTTCAATATTTTTTTCCAGTATGATATGAAGTCAGGAAAACTAGCTGTACTGGTGGATGTTGTTAAAGATCCTAAAGGTATGATTGCAAAATTGAAAAAAAATATACACATGCAGTTTCATTTTCAGTAACAGGGGCAACATTGCTTTCTCCAATTCTTTGATGTCTGTTTTAAATGAATAAATGAGAATTGGTCTGTCTTTTGAAATTTTGTTATAAAAGTGAACTTAATTGAGAAGAAGGTGAAAAAAAGTAAAGGTGAATACCAGGATATGTTTATAAATAAAAAAGGGCCCATGGGTCACATCGCTCACCTGAGCACATTGGGTAGAAAAAGCACAAATCAGTTCAATATATATGATTTGAGTTAGAAGTTACATTGTACTTAAATGTACTACCTATTGTCTCTCAAAATCATGGTTTGCATTTAAATTCGACCTCCTCCTCTTGTTACCAGGGGAGGAATTTCCTGGTATTTACAGTATGTCATTACCTCAGCGGTGTTGGGCCCCTGATGGAAAACGCGTCATCTTTAACAGTGTATGGAGAAGTGAAGTGGTAAGTTTATCTCATAAGTTTTCATATCAGTTCTATCTTTCACATTTCAAACTCTGTAAAACTTTCTTCTTACAGACTTGCTCATTTTTTTAAATTCAGGAAATATAAGCCTGAAATATTTTCTAAGCTTGCATTTTCTTTAAATAATTGTAGTAATCTATAAGGCAGTTAAAATCATAAACTTTTTAGCAAACAAACTTTTGTGCATGTTTTTTCTAAACTGCAGAGTTAATTAAGATTTTGAATGAATTTTTCTCATTTCAAAGCATGATATTTTTGCAGAAGGGCAATGAACAGACCATATATATATCACAGTTTATTTCCCCAACTTTGTAATGTTACTATCTCTAATGGCTTAAATATCTGCAATGAAAAAGTGTCCATCATCTGCCTAATCATATGCTTTTTTCTGATAAGAGGTTTTCAAAATGCTACCCCCCTTATGATGTTACATTTTCATTTTTATGCCCCACCATGAATATGGCCGGGGCATATAGTGTTCGTCATGTCCGTCTTCCATCCTTCTGTCCTTCCATCACCCTTAGTTCAAAGCTCAGTTTCAAAGAATTATTCATTCTATTCATTGACAAGCTATTTTCATCAAACTTCATATGCTGATAGATATTGATGAGAGCTATGCAACTGCATCAACATTTTAAGACCTTGACCTCTCCTGTGACCTTGACCTCACTTTCCTTAAAGATTTAGCTCAGTTTTAAACATACATGTACCAGTTATCAGTGTCAAACTTCATATGCAGATACATACTGATGAGAGCTTTTCAACTGCATAACATTTTTTAACCTTGGTATTTCAAACCTTGATCACTTTCATCAAATTGTGTTTATAAAGATATTCAAGATATTTTTTATCAAACTTCATATGTTGATACTATAATGAGAGATATTCAACTGCATCAACATTTTTAACCTTGACCTTTCCTTTAACCTTGACCTCACTTTTCCTAAATTAGTATCAAACTTCATATGCTAATGCATACTGGTGTAAGCATTCAGCTGCATTAACATTTTTCACCTTGACCTTCATTTGACCATGACCTCACTTTTATCAAATTGTGTTTAAGTCAGTTTAAAATAAACCATTCATAATATTTTTCTCAACTTCATATGCTAGGTGATACATACTGATGAGAGCTTTTCAATTGCATAAACATTTTTTTACCTTGGCATTTCCTTTGACCTTGACCTCACTTTAAAGAAATTCATGTCAAACTTCATATGCTGATACATACTGATGTAAGCAATTCAAGTGCATCACTATTCAAGATATTCTGATCAAATTTCATAAACTAATATAAATTTTCATGTTGCATTACTGATATACCCCTGGCAGGGCATTTATGTCCTATGGACATATTTCTAGTGTATTTAGGTAGACTAAACAAATTAAGACACGAAATTCTTTTTGTAAGATTTAGATTTAAATAAATGATGTCACCATGAGTACTAGAAATAAGCATTTCTGTGAAATTCTTTCAAAAATCTACAGACTAATTCCAGTAAAACTTTGACTTTGGTATAAAAAACCAAGGTTTACAAGGTTTTTGGTAAATACTAAAATAAGGGATACAGTCATGAAATGTATGGGATTGCATTTTAAATGCTACTCAGTTTTCCTAAATATTTGATTTCTGATTTCAGTAAAACTTTATCTGCAAATAGATTATTCCAGTAATCATAAATCCATCAATAGGTATATTGCTAAAGCTACACAGTTTTTAGTTCAGCAGCCACTTCTCTCTTTCAATCATAATAATTTATATTTAGACATACAGTGGAGCTACAGTCTTGTCAGAGATTTCTGGTTTATTGTAGGGAATCCTGGTGGTAGACACAGAGACAAGGAAAGTGACCCCCATTCTCTCTAGTGAGTGTCCTCAACTCTATCCTTATAGTAACAGATAAATCTTCTCAAAGGAAATGGCTATTGAAATGACAGTATCATCAGCAAGTACTAATATGAAAGATTTTTTTGTATTAAAGATTTGTAGTGATTGTTAAGAATTACAAAGTTAATTTGTGGTTTTATTATAAATGTTCATGATGATAAATATGAATTGCATGCATTTATTTTTAGAATCTCATGGCTGCCTGAAGGTCACTGATATATTCCAAGACAGGATGCTAGTAATGCAGTCCAGTATAAACCAGTTACCATACTTTGTAAGTGTGCATATTAAAGAAAACTTTATTGGTCTGAGAGAAAATCTTTCTAGTAAATGGTAGAAGTAAAAAGTTTTTACATCAGTATTTCAAAATCATTAAAATAATCCAAACACCACCCCCACCCCACCTGAAAATGAATCCTTTAGATTTCTGAGTGTTCATGATATTGAGGATGAATCCTCAAAATAAATCTGTAGTTATATTATTCTTCAAATCAGGTCTGCAGTCCTTAATACTGAATCACTTTTGGTTCTTCAGTTCTACCACTTTCCAGGTTGGAGTAAAATTCTAGACTGAGAATTTCTATTGTTTTCAGTAACCTTTTCAATAATATTGCTCTGTTTACAGAGTATATGCAGACTTCCAGAAAGTGGTCAGGAATCCTCAGCTGTGTTCCATCCTCTGGATGACCCAGAGCCAACTTTAGACATCAACTTTGAAATTCTAAAATTCCAACCAACACATCGACCCCATCCTAAGTTTGGTAGGTTTTCCTGAGAATGAATTCAGAATCAATACAAGTACCACCAAATTTGGAATTCAGTCTTACATTGTTCTAAATTCCTGATTCTGACAACTTATGCCAAAAAACCATATCAAATATCATGATAATAATACTATTGATTCTGAAATGATACACACAAGTATTGCTGATTAAAAGTTGTTTTTTTTTTTTGGGGGGGGGGTTATAAAAATGAATGTGGTTCATTTTATTTTATCTTGCAGGTACACATGAATATGAGGCAATTCTAGTCACACCAAAAACCAACAAAGAAAAACACCCATTGATTGTATTTCCACATGGTGAGAAGATTCTTATAACAACTGTATCAATTTGAGTTTCTTTAAATGTCATGGACAAGTGGTAATTCTTTTAATAACACTTTCAAATCCTTCTAAATCTGTGTAAATTCACCAATCTCTTCCCCCTCCCCCACTTGTCTGCCTTTCAGACACAGATGATGAGCCACCTCTATAAGTAAACTAGAGGGGTGTTTTTATTACAGGGGGACCTCACTCAGTCTTCACAACAGATTTCCTCCTTCTGCCTGCAGTCTTTACACTTTGTGGATTCGCAATGGTTAAAAGTAAGTCATTTGGAGGTATACAGTGAAATTTGTCTCATCTGAATGTTGTGTAATTTGAAATCTTGTCTATAATGATGAAAACTTAAAGTCCCTTCAGTTATATTCATTTGTTTGAAATGTTGTCTTATCTGGAATGTCGTACAATCTGGTCAATTTCATTGTCAGGATTAGATAATTTTACTGCATTTATATCATATAATGACCTTGCCTTATTCATATACTGTAAACAACTTTTATTCTAGATCGAGAAATATTCGCAAGTTTCGCGACTTTATTTTAATTGCATATTTTAATTGCTGTAAACAATTTATTAAGCTCTGTATTTCCTCAGTCGCGAAAATTAATTGAAGTGGATCAATTTCAATCAAACTGATGAATAGCGAATAAAATATGACACAAGTAATAGTTGGTTTACAGCAATGTCTGTTCCTAAGTAAATTGCAGAGGTTCGAATGGTAAATAAATCAGTAATGTATGTGTTATGTATACAGTTAATTACAGAGGTTCTATCGCTTATGGAGATGGCTGTTTTTTTTTTTTTTGTGTACAGTTAACTACAGAGGTTCTATCGGCTATGGAGATGACAGTCTGCGGTCTTTACCTAGCAATGTGGGAGACATGGATGTCAAAGATTGTCAGGTACATGTATAACAGTACATCACAACATACCAGTAGCTGGTTTTGTCATTGATTCAATAAAAAACACCTTACACTTTTCCAAATAAAATACCATATTATGAATATTTTGTATAAGAATAATCTTTTCCCTCATCAGTTCTGGGTGATTTATAGAAATATTCCCCCTGTATTTCTTGTCTAAATTGTAATTTAATTCTGTCAAAAAAAAAAAATTCAAAAGAGTTATTAAGTTTTTAGTTAATGTATCACGAATAATTATGAGTCACCCTACATTTTTTTTTAAAATTCTTAATTAGGATGTTGCTGAGAGTGTTGTCAAATTAGATCAAATAGACAAGAACAAGGTGGCTGTGTTTGGTGGATCTCATGGAGGATTTCTAACAACACATTTGATTGGTCAATATCCAGTAAGTGAGTTAAAAAAAAACTTTTGATCGGTCAGTATCCAGTAAGTGATATATAAATTAAAACACATCTGATTGGTCAATATCCATTTAGAATAGTAAATTGTTAAAACACAAATGACTGGGTCAATATCCAGTGAGTGGCTAAGACAACATTTTTTAAAAATATACATGTTCACAATTTTAAATATCAAATAAAATGACATTTTCAAAGACTTGTACCTTGTGTCTTATGAGTATGGGAATTTCTTTAATCAGAATCCTATGTGAAAAAATTAAAGCATTCTTTGTTTTGGCATGTACAAATTATATCAAATATTAAAAATGAATTAATATTTTTTTCAATTAATAATTGTTATTAATGAAAATAATTTATTTAATAACACCTCTATGAACTTATATTTTGTGCAAATATTGTGTTTCAATTGACATGTATCTTTTAACATATAAATGTCAAACTTCACTGCTTTCTACAGAGTTTTTACAAGGCAGCATGTTGTAGGAATCCGGTGACAGACATAGCAGGTAGGAAACCTTTATGTGTGACACAGTATTTATCACAAAAAAATGATAAAAATACTTATCAATTTCAAAGCAAAATGTTAACATTATATTTTATTGATATATTTATGTTTTATTGATTTCCCTAAAACAAAAGAAAAGATATAAGGAACAAATCATATCCGCTATTCTTTAAAATACAGTTTATCTTTTTGAATCAGCAATTTCATGCTAAAAATCTTACTCACCCTTTCTCTTGCACAGGCATGTTATGCATATGTTTATATTGGTGTTAAACAAAAAATCAATTACCATTGACACTGTCTTTGAATCAAAGATTATTATACCATTGCTATATATTGAATTAAATGTTTCCAATATATGTAGAACATCAAAGAGAGTTCTGCATGTTTTACTTTGATATAATCACAGAAAACACTTTGTGAAATTAAAGTGCTTTTGTCTCCCCATGTACAAATATATTAAAAATGAATTGATATTTTCTTCACATAATTCTTAATCAGAATAATCAATAAAGCATTTAACTTATTTATGCACATACATCTAGTTTTTTATATTAATGTCAAACTTCACTGCTTTCTACAGAATTTTTACAAGGTTAGCATGTTGTAGGAATCCAGTTACAGACATAGCAGGTAAAAGTGTGTACTTAAATACTTGCATGGAAAATTTCTCTGTAAATCATTTTTTAACCTTTTTCACAATTGCATCAAAGTCAAAAAAAAAAGCAAAAGGTCATGATCAAAAGATATGGCCCTGTATATCCTGCATAATCTAACACAATGTTGTATAAACACAGATACACATTCCAGCCACTTTAAAATTCCATTTCTAAATCTTGTTTATTTCAAAAAGTCATTTTTGTATTTGATCAGCTGATATAATGCTAATATCTTAATAATTAACCCTTTCTCTTAACAGGCATGTTGGCCACAACAGATATTCCAGATTGGTATGAACAAAATCACCTTCATGCATATACTGTCTTTACCATCTAATGATTCTATTTACATTAAATATATTGTTTAACAAGTTTCAAAATATATTTTATAACCATCAAGTAGAATTCTGAACATCAGTACTATCAATTAATTTAATTTAAAATATACAGGAAAACATTTTAGTAGCTAACACACTTATAATGAAGCAAAGTGATTTTCATCCCACATGTCTATGAGAAATATATTGTAAACTTATTGGATATGACAAAAATGCTTATAAGAAAAATTATGCATTCCTAACTTCATTATAAATATGTTTTACTGCATTAAGTTTAAAATGACAGAATTTGTTTTTTTTAAATTAATTTGTAATCTCACCTGAGCCAAAGGCTCAAGTGAGCTTTTCTGATCACAATTTGTTTTTTTTTGTAGTTTTTATAACTTTTTACATTTTCTCTATTTCTCAAGAACCGTTTTAATTTAAACCAAACTTGCCACAAAGCATCCTTGGGTAAAGGGGAATTGAATTTGTTCATAGAACTGAAGGGCCACAAAATAAAGTTCAAGGGGAGATAATTGGCAATCAATGAAAATTTGGTGGTATCTTTTAAAAATCTTTCTCCCCTTGGGTAGGGCGGGGCCAAAATGTTGACGACCAAAGTTTTAAATAGAAATATATAGGAAAATTCTATTTCAAATATCCAAAAATTAACAATTACAAAGCCATAATTGATCATATTTATTTGGAAGCATCCTCGGGTAGTGTAGATTCAAGTTTGTTCAAATCATGACCCTCCGGGGTAGGGCGGGGCCACAATGGCCAATCAAAGTTTTACATAGAAATATATAGGACAAATTCTTTAAAAATCTCTTATCAAGAAAAGCAAAGCCGTGATTGCTCATGGAACTACTTTTGGATATAAACTATTCAATAATATCCATTTTACTTTTTCCCAGCCAAAGTGCTCAGGTGATTGATTTGGCACATGGGCTTTGTTGTAGTTAGCAACATAAAAAAGGACACTATGAGAGCAATTTAAGCTGACTTTCCTGTATATTGATACTTTGTTTGTTTGTTTGTAGGTGCTATACAGAGAGTGGATATGAATTCAAACATGATGCTTTACCAACAGGAGAGAGACTCACTGAAATGTGGAACAAGTCGCCATTACAATATGTTGATAAGGTAATTCATTGTACACATTGCACTTTGATGACTTCAAAGAAATCTATACTGCAGTAAGTTGGTTGTCACATTTTTTCTTGTAAACCAAGATTTAAATAGAAATATATAGGGAAATTCATTAAAAATTTTCTTTTCAAAAACACTGGGCCAGAAAACCTAAAAATTCTGTGGAATCATCCTTGGGAAGTGTAAATTCTAATTCTTTTTTTTTCAAATCATGACTTCAGGTGTAGGGTGGGGCTACAATCATGTATTGCAAGGTGGAAAATCTGGTGAATAACAGCAGGGCCAGTGTTACTCAGGTGAGCCTTGTGGCCCATGGGTCTCTTGTTCATCTAATGGGCTTGAATGACTGATTGATTGTATGTTGTTTTTTTAAAAATCTTTAAAAATCTTCTTCTCAAGAACCACTGGGCCAATTTTTCACTCATATGGAGACACCACACTTGCCAGTTATCACATTTTAACAAGGTAGAAAATATGGAGTAGGGTTACATGTTACACTTGTTCAAGATGTCATTTTAGGCAGGAACACTTCCAATTTACTTTCAAATATTAAACTTCAAACATTTGTGAATATATGTTTCAATAGATAAATTTCACACATGTAAAATGCTCCTATATTTTGTTATTATGCAGGTAGAGGCTCCACTATTAATTATGCTGGGGTTGGATGATGCCAGAGTCCCTCCTAAGCAGGGTGAGCAGTACTATAAGCAACTGAGAGCCAGGAACAAAAAGGCCAGGTATAGATAGTACAGTCAAACTGAGCTAACACCCTGTAAATAGTCAAACTGATCTAACACCTGGTATACAGTCAAACTGATCTAACACCTGGTAAACAGTCAAACTGATCTAACATCTGGTATACAGTCAAACTGATCTAACACCTTGTAAAAAAGTAAAACTTATCTAACAACCAGTAAATAGTCAAACTGGTCTAAAACCCAGTATACAGTCAAACTGATCTTACACCCAGTAAACAGTCAAAAAGTTAATTAAATTACAATTACTTTCCCAAAACCCTCAATTAAATTACCATTACCAAGGCCGGTATTCAGTCAAACTGATCTAACACCCTGTAAATAGTCAAGATTATCCAACTACCAGTAAACAGTCAAACTGGTTAAACACCCAGTATACAGTCAAACTGATCTACCACCATGTATACAGTCAAACTGTTCTAACGCCCGGTATACAAACTGATCTAACACCCAGTAAATAGTCAAAATTATCTAACTACCAGTAAACAGTCGAACTGATCTAACATCCGATAAATAGTCAAAATTATCTAACTACCAGTAAACAGTCAAACTGATCTAACAGACAGTAAATAGTCAAAATTATCTAACACCCGGTAAATAGTCAAAATTATCTAATTACCAGTAAACAATCAAACTGATCTTACACCCAGTAAATAGTCAAAATTATCTAACAACCAGTAAACAGTCAAACTGATCTAACACCCGGTATACAGTCAAACTGATCTAATACCTGATATACAGTCAAGCTTGTCTTATCTTAAACCTGAAATACAGTCAGACTTATTTGATCTAACACCTGACATACAGTCAAACATGTCTATTTAAACATCTGACATACAGTCAAACTTGTATAATCTTACACCTGACATACAGACTTGTCTGATCTAACACCTGATATACAGTCAAACTTGTGTGATCTAACACCTGACATACAGTCAAACTTGTGTGATCTAACACCTGACATACAGTCAAACTTGTATAATCTTACACCTGACATACAGACTTGTCTGATCTAACACCTGATATACAGTCAAACTTGTCTGATCTTACACCTGACATACAGTCAAACTTGTGTGATCTAACACCTGACATACAGTCAAACTTGTGTGATCACACACCTGACATACAGTCAAACTTGTCTGTTGTAATACCTGACATACAGTCAACCTTGTCTGATTTAACACCTGACATACAGTCAACCTTGTCTGATTTAACACCTGACATATAGTCAAACTTGTGTGATCTTACACCTGACAATCCTTTTACTCTGATATATCCAACCTTGTTGTAACAAATAACATTTATATACAGGAAGAAAAATTGTTTATTCCAATTGGCACTTTACTATAAGTATGTTTTACTGTGTATCATTTCATCATAATTAAACAAACATCAGATATTTGTTCAAAGAAATGCATTTTGCACATTAAATAAATTTTTTTTTTTATTTTAAAAAATATCTCTCTCCGTAGGTTGATTGGCTACAAAGACAACTGTCATCCTATTGATACAGTAGAGGCTGCAGCAGATTCCTGTATGAATATCCTGGATTGGTTCTGGCAACACTTGGATTAAGTCGGAAGCTGGCAACTTAATTAAGTGTGATACCAGCAGATATTTCAAATACTTTGTTCACAACACTTTATTGTTATGCAGAATATTGTGTAGTCAATAAAGGTTTATTTTATGTATACAATAGTTATTTTTCATAATAATGTGCAGGGATATGGACATAAATAAAATATTTTTTTAATGATGTTAATTTTCGAGTCACTTGTCTTTCAAGAATCAAGGTTTTACTTTCAATATGAGGATTATAAAAAGGTGCTCGCAAAAGTTTGAGATAAACATTTTCAGTGTAAATTTTGCAGATCAAGTCGTCCAACAATCTGTTTCCATGGGTGCTAATTGTGCCCGTTTTTAGTTTCATTTGATATCTTACGGTTGACTGCAACTATGTCCTTTGGAAAAATAAGAAATATTTATATTGTTTTCCTTCTCTTCCAACCTACCTTGGAATTAGATAAACGTTTTGGTGATACACAATGCATAACAAGTTCATTTTATGTGTATCTATCTATTGATTTCAATTTATTAATTGGTGCTTCTCAATGAGAGAAGCTATCGCAAGCTGGAAAATACTAGATGAAATTTTGTCAGGGTCTCATGTCAATGAGTTGACATGGAACCTCTGTTGTCCTGATTGATTTTTTTTCAATTTACGCTGAGTAGGCAATATTTTAGCCATATTTTGGCTGTTGTCCTGAGGGTAGTTATTAGCAGATCATTTTTTTGTATCCATATGATGCAGATTTTATTCAAAACAATTTTCTAAAAGAAAAAGTCTTTTGCTGTAGCCTTGCGTCTGATGATGTATCAATGATGTGGTATTCATTTTCATTCCTACTTTGATTTGATGTATTTTTTACTTATTTGAATGTTTCACTGACTAGAAACTATAAAGGCTAAGAAAATATGAAGATAAGGAACAGAAATTAAGGACTGAAGTCCATTAAACTATCACAAATTTAATTAAAACAAATGGAACAAGGACCTACAATAACATCAGAGGTTGGATCAGATGCCATAGAAGAGTAAGTAACCCCTGTCATTGTCACAGCTGCAGTGGGTAACGTTCCTTGTTTATGTAGTTATATTAATTCTGGCTATAACATGCATATGCTTTGTTTTTATCTCCCAGCTCATTCTATACCCAAGAGCATGCTCTGTGTAGTATCATTTTTTTTAACTTGAGGCAGGCTACTAACAGATAAGTCGATGTTACAAGGATTTCAACAACCTTGTTTAAAGTCAGCATTTTGTAAATTCTGTGGTATATTGACCTTGTAAGCAATCGTTCTTGGACTGACCTTTCCATACAAATTGTAAATTCCATGCTTTTATATTATTTTTTTTCTGTGGACTATTCCGTCTACCTGAATAATACATATATTACTGATGTCGAGTGTGACCGCTTGGCCGGAGATGCTTACCCCTCCAAGGCACCTGATCCTACCTCTGGACAGTATGGGAGTCTGTTTTATGTACTGGTCAAAGATTTATGCGAATTTCACTTAATCACTGGTCCACTTGACCGATGAATATATTTTTTATTTCAAAAACTCCGATTTATTAAAATATAAAATAAGAAAAGCAAAGGTTTTGTGTTCCTTAAACAAGTTGAAAATCACGTCAAATGTCTTGAGCATCATAGCACAAACAATGGTTTCATGTATTCTAATGCTGATATTTGATTTTCTTCACTTGATTGTCTCTCATTTCAGAAACAAACAAAATGTCCCTTGCATCGATACAGAGTCCAAAAGGGCCCCTTAGCCCATAATTTATAAAGCCGAGGAACATGCCGTCTCGATCTATGATGTGAACACAGTCATTGTCATAATCTGCTATAAGGATGTGACTCCGACTGTCTGTTGTGATCCCTTTGGGGTTGAACGGTTTTCTTTTGGGAGAGGGAGTTTGACCCCTGTATATGAATCTCCGTTTTCCAGCTTGGTTGATCACAATTACTGATTTATCATTAAAGTCCACCTCACAAATATCCAAGTTCCCGTTTTCACTGATGCAATTTTGATTATGAACAGGATGTTCATAGATAGAGGTTCTGTCTTTTAGCAGTATGGATTGTTTCTCTGTAGAGCCAGAGTAACGAACAACCTTTAACTTCTCGTCTCTATTATTGTGCATGTTCACTAGAAGATCTCCAGAGGGGGTAGAGCAGACTCCGTAAGGGATCCACTTATGTAGTATTATAGACTCAATGCGTTCATCTTTCATTATGTTTATACTTTTTGCAATTGGATCAGTATACACCAGTTCACCATGTTTTGTCACTGCAATGCCCCCTGGTCGGTTCTTTGACATGGTTCCTACTGTCTGGAGTATTTCCCCCCGTTTGATGCTGAAGAGGTACATTTTATCTTCGGCTCCTCCTGTCCAGAGTTTATCATCATTTAAAATGGCCACAAAGTAAGGACCAAATAAAAATGAAAACTTCATTTTTATGGTGGTGTAAATTTTTGGTTTATCAAGAAACTGTGTAACCATTGGTAGAGTAGCTGCTTCTTGTATGTTTTGTTCTGACTTCATGCCTTGGCCCCTAAGATACAAGGTTGACTCTCTGGGACGTGATTTACCAGAAGGGTAAAGGGGATCGGATTTTCTGTTTTCAAATTTGACCACTTTATGGACAGTATCTTCGTCAGTTGAAATGTGTTCCTCCACACAGGCCCTGCATAGGTTGATGAGGCATGTATTGCAGTGCATCTCTATTACGGATGTCTTGCACACATGGCATCGTATCACATCCTGGGCACTAGTAAGAGGATTCATTGGTATATTTTATCTACATATTAAATTTAAAAAAAAAGGAGCCATTAAACTCTTGATTTCCATTTTGACATAGTGATTTTAATAAAACGAGTTACAAGTTAAATCAATTTTTCATTAATTTTTATTTTAAAAAACTCAATTATTTTTTTTTTGCCACCTGGGTATACTCAGATGACCTATTGCTATCCGTTTTTGTCCGTCGTCGTGCGCCGTGCGTTATTATTTGAACATTTTCAAGTTCTTCTATGCAACCGCTCAACCAATTTCAACCAATTTAAACACAAAGAAAGCTTAAGGGGGAACAAAAATTGTTAATTTCATGGTCCCTGAGGGATGGGGCCAAAACCACTAAAATTAATGTAATCTTCAAAAATATTCTTTTATACCCCTGGGCATTAAGTAGTCAAACTTTTAACACGACTGTAATCAGCATTAGTCTTCTATAAAACTTTTGAAATTCATGGCCCCAGGGTCAGGGATTCTAGTGCTAGGGTTGGACTTAATAGATTGTATAGTGAAAATGCATTTATTCTTTAAAAATCTTCTTCCCTTCTCCTGGGCATTAAATAAAGTAACCAAGTACTAGTCCGAAATATCTGACGTTTTCTTGGCTTTTGAACGATTTTGATATTTTACTTGCTTGGCATGTAAAATATCAAAATCGTGAAAAAGCCGGGAAAACGTCAGATATTTCGGACTAACCTAGTAAATGGTTTTGCTGAATAAGCTGAATTTCTTACGAAATTGAGAATTTCATGGCCCTGGGTCAGGGGTTCTGGTGTTAGGGCGGGGCTCTATTGATTATATAGTGAAAATGCTTAAATTCTTTTAAAGTCTTTTCCTCTGCTCTTGGGTGTTTAACCAATAAACTATGTACATAGTTATGATGAGGAAGGATGCTTCTTCCTAAGTTATGAATTTCAAGGCCCCTGGATCAGGGGTTCTGGTGCTAGGTCGTTGCTCTAATGATTATATCGTGAAAATGCATGGATTCTTTGGAAATCTTTTCCTTTGCTACTGGGTATTATGCCAATGATCTAGGTACATATTTATGATGAAGAAGGTGTGTTTTCCAAAATGGTTCATTTCAGGGCCTCTGGGCTAGGGGTACCGTGGGAGGAGGGGTTACATAGTCAGAAAAAAGTAACTCTTTGAAATCTGCTCTTTGTTATTAATCAACCATTTTTGATGAAATAAAATTTAAAATTTATGATAACATTTCCAAAATTTTGAAATATGAGGCCCCAATGTCAGTGACCCCTGTGGTGTGGGGAGCACAACTGGTTATAATATGGAAATGCATTTTCTCTTTGTTACTCTGATCTACCTCTGGGTATTAAGTAACCAAGGTAGGCATGCTAAGTGTAAAGTTATGATAAACAATGATGCTTCTTTCAAAATTGTATATTTCGTGGCGTTTGATTTAAAACACGAACCAATTTCAATTGTTGGAAAGTTGTTACATGATACTCAGATGACCTATAAGGCCCGTGGGCCTCTTGTTTAGAAAATAACTTCACATTAAACATACCGGTATCAAGTATTTCATGGAATTCGTTACAAATATAGATTTGATGCTTGTAAGACTTCATAGGCGTCGGAACAGGAGGCTAGATGGGGCTTAGCTCCCTCCCCTTTTTTTTGCAATGATAGACATAATATAGGCATTGAAAATTGGGGTTTCTTTTTTTAAGTTGGAATAGTTACCTACACTTTTAATTACCCCCTCCTCTCATTCAATTTGCTTCCGACGCCTGAAAGGACTTGATTTTTTTTTTTGGAAAAGAAACTGTCTTGTTCATCACTTCCATGGGTTTTATGGGTCTGTATAAAATGCCTTGTATCCAAAAAACGACCCTCTTTGTATTTGTTGCCAAAGGTTGTTTAGAATTCTCATTTTTTTAAATGTTAAATTTAGATAAATTACAATGTTAGCGTGTTTTTTTTTAAATATTAAAGAGAAATACCTTAGGTATGCTAAAGCAAATTCCTCAAAAAAATCCACATATAATTTCTCCAAAATGGTTAACAAAAAAAAGGTTACCTTATCAAAATTTTCAATCGAAAATCTCTTGAGCACATGACTAGTACTCTTATGGCTCACTGCGTATTTTAAAGATCTGGGCTTCGTTTTGTGTTTAAATAAGATTTCTGTTGCACAAATTAACGCTGCAGAGTATTTACTTAACATCCATTTCAAATTTTACTTTAAAAGTGTAGGTAAACTTTGTATAAGTCATATTTTCAAAGAAAAAATTGGACATACTTAACATATAATATATTTGGCATTTTATTAAATATTTTTTTTATTTTACTTTTTCTGATCAGAAATTCTACTTGAATATTAATGTCTCTGTGGTTTCATTTTATTTGGATAGATGTTTCTGATCTATGTTCTTGCATTCAAATACGCATTTTTAAGCTTTAGGGACCAAAAATAATAGTATTATGTATATTTAAGTGATGTATCAGTATGTTAACTTTCTACCCAATAAAAGAACAGAAACTTATGAACTTAAATACATGCGACATGTGCAAAGTAAACTCTTTGTGTAAAAAAAAGTCTTAAATAATAGTTTCATATACTGGTAACCTATGCACTTAACAGTATGGTAACACATTTACTTATTATTTTAATTAAATAAAATAAAACAGAATCATAAGTACTTAAATACATGCACATACATACACAAAGTGAATTTTTAAAGACTAAACATTTATTGTCAGTCTATAAGTCAGTCTTATAGGTCATGCAGTTTGAAGATATTACGTTTTATTCTCTTAGCTTCATTCTATCGAATTTTTACAGCTGTTTGCGTTGGATAATTATAAACAAGATATATCTAAATGATATCATTTAGCTGGATCCTGCAGCTATGTCCTTTGGAAAAATAAGATATATTTATATTGTTTTACTTATCTTCCAAACTATCAGATAAAGCTTTTGGTGATACACAATGCATTTAAAACCCCGTGGGCATCCGGGTTAGAATAGGTCCTCAGTACCCCCTTGTTTGTCGTAAAAGGCTGCTAAATGGGACGGTCCTTTGGATGAGACCGTATAAACTGAGCACCCATTCTCAATATAAGGGCACAAATGCCTCTCTGATTTTTTAAAAAATGAAGTTCAAGATAACAATTTTTCTATCAATTACCTTTGAAAGAAAGTATCTGAAGATTTTGTTTCCAGATTTTTTTCATCAAATTATAATACATGGAATAATGACAAGACGATAAAGTAGAGGGTGATTTTGTTCAAAAATGTAGCTTGAAATGTACGTTACTCTTTCTTCAATGTCCAAAAAAATATGTCAAAAAAAATGTAGTCATTAAAATCACAATTGGAATATCTCATCTTAACACCAGCACATCCTACCAACTCTGTCAGCAACATATTTTCGCGGCATACGAACGTGCGTTTAATTTTTCCTTTCAAAAAACAAAGGTTACTTTTTGATCCAGATGTATAAAAACATTTTTTAAATATATGCTTTAAATTCTTCTCTCTGTTTTGTTAAGAGCGATCAGTTTGGAATCTTGTCATTTTTAATAGATACTGGAACCTTACATGTACATGTAGTAAAATTCTATTTTGTAGTTACTGTCTTTTTTAACATATATCCATGCCGATTTAGAAAACTATGTAAATGTAACGTACATTTCAAGATATATTTCTGTTTAATAAAAAGCTTAAAATTCATCTAAAATTCATTTAAAAATTCATCGTTTTGTTTCAGTTTATTCCAAAAAAGATTCTCTATGTAATCACATTGTGTTATATGTCACAATCACCACTATAGAGACACGATTGCCTCAGAATATGAGTAGGTAACGTACATTTCAAGCTTGTAATAATATGTAAATTAGTAATAAGAAAATATTGAAAAAAAAGCAATTATTGACATAAAAATCATATCAATGAAGCGTTTTAAGGCAGCAATATAAGAAATCATAATGTAACAAACGAGGTTATTGTCATCAACTACATGACTGTCACGTCACTTCGGTAACGTTCATTTCACATATTATTGGAGAGTCCCCTCCACCTCAGTTCATTACCATTCTTTTGTGCTGTTTCGCTGAAATTGACACCGGTCGTAGCCTAGTTACTTCTAACTGTGTGCAAGGGTACAGACAAAAAAAATATGAGTCAGATGTATTTTGCTATCATCTAACAAATGTTCGTGTTTGGTCATTGAAACTTAACATAAATCTATTCCGAATATATCCATCGACAGTCTTGTAAACAATTTCATTTAGTATGTTGCAACATCGTTTTTCAAAACACAAGCATACGTGCTTTTCAGCAGATCTGGAAAAATATAACCCAAAGTGCAATGATTCAAACAAAACTGAGTATTCAGTATTTGAAATGTACGTGACCATCCTGTGTTCTGGGTTTATTTGTTTTGTTTCTTTTTCTTTTCATTTTTTTTTTTTTTTTTTTTTTTTTTTTTTACCAATTATAAGCCTATGCATACCTTGTTTTAAATTATCAACAACAATTAATATTGACGAAAAGTCGCATATGAAAAGTAAACAAACTGCAAAAAGGTTGCCAAAGATGAATTTAAGACACTGTGGTAACAGTTTAAAACATTTACGAGGATTGGGGGTGCATTTAGATGGATTTATGTGGCCAGTTGTCAAATGGATTGTAACGTTAATTTTGTTTCGCTCGTGTAAACGCAATTCATTGACTAAATTTAAAAAAATGTCAGTTAGAAATACATAAAATGTACGTTACCATACGTAACGTACATTTCAAATATAAAAATCAATCCTCTTCCACAAGCATACGTTAGACACGCAATATATTGATACTATTTGAACCTGCATATCATAAGAAATGCATCATACAGGTTTCGTATTCAGAAATATATACCAGGTATCAAAATTATATTACATAATAATTGACCTTAATATATTTTTTTCCTCAGCAGAGACGTTTCTTTTCATTAATTTTGGGATTTAGCGGACCTCCAACCTTTGAAACTTTCCTTTGTGTACACATTCGAGTGTGTGAAAGTATTAGAATACATGAAAATTCGTGCGAGATTCACTTAATTCGAATTTCATGGTAACGTACATTTCAGTCACGTACATTTCAAATGATCACTTTTCATGTAAAAAATAATTTTTAATTATGTTAAGCAAGACGTCTTTGCCAGTTTACAGGATACAAGGGGTTGCTTATTCAGAGTCATCTCATATTTTCTACTTAATATGTATTCTTAATGGAAGAATATAGGTAACGTACATTTCTTTCTTATCTCTACGATTGAAAATGTCTTTCATTCCGTAAACATATTTATAAAAGTTGCTCAAGTTGTTCAATTTCATGTTACATTATCTAAGTAGGAGTAATTAATCCTTTGAAATTTCAAATTTAGCCCATCAATAAATAAAGGAGAACAAAACTATCAGGTGTATAATCTTTGTGTTTGCTTGTAATGTGGTTGAAATAGAATTAAGCGACAGGGACATTGCACAATAAAAATTATTTATTATCACAAAGAAAATGTATTTATTGTTATGAAAAGAAATATATATGATACAAGGTTTAACTTATCAGAAAATTTTTACTTGAGAATCAAAACTGTATATTACACAGAGGGGATTCAGAATAATATTTGCCTCGGCGACAGTAACGTACATTTCAAATAGGCTACTATATTTGAATTTGGAACTCCTTAAATACCCTTTCAGATCAATAATTATATGAATTCTTATTCATTGTTATATGACTATTTATAATGTTGATTTAAAAATTACATCAGTGATATTTCTTCTAAATGAAAATGAGGCGACATTATTTGAGCCCTTATATTGAGAATGGGTGTGTGGTATTCATTTTCATTCCTACTTTGATTTGATGTATCCTCCTCTACTCAAAAGACACCATAGAGTGTCTGACACATTTGTTTTTTATTTGAATGTTTCACTGACTAGAAACTATAAATGTTAAGAAAATATGAAGAAAAGGAACAATAATTAAGGACTAAAGTCCATTGAACTATCACAAATTTAAAACAAGTCGAACAAGGACCTACAATAGCATCAGAGGTTGGATCAGATGCCATAGAAGAGTAAGTAACCCCTGTCAGTGTTACAGCCAGCTGCAGTGGGTAACGTTCCTTGTTTATGTAGTTATATTAATTCTGGCTATAACATGCATATGCTTTGTTTTTATCTCTCAGCTCATTCTATACCCAATTTTTTTTTAACTTGAGGCAGGCTACTAACAGATAACTCGATGTTACAAGGATTTCAACAACCTTGATGAAAGTCAGAATTTTGTAAATTCTGTGGTATATTGAACTTGTTAGCAATCGAATTCGGACTGACCTTTCCATACAAATTGTAAATTCCATGTTTTTATGTTATTTTTTTCTGTGGACTATTCCGTCTACCTGAATAATACATATATTACTGATGTCGAGTGTGACCGGTCGACCGGAGAGCTTACCCCTCAAAGGCACCTGATCCTACCTCTGAACAGTCTGGAAGTCTGTTTTATCTACTGGTCAAAGATCTATGCGAACATCACTTAATTACTGGTCCACTTGACCGATGAATATATTTTTATTTCAAAAACTCCGATTTATTAAAATATAAAATAAGAAAAGCAAAGGTTTTGTGTTCCTTAAACAAGTTGAAAATCACGTCAAATGTCTTGAGCATAATAGCATAAACAATGGTTTCATGTATTCTAATGTTGATATTTGATTTTCTTCACTTGATTGTGTCTCATTTCAGAAACAAACAGAATGTCCCTTGCATCGATACAGAGTCCAAATGGGCCCCTTAGCTCATAATTTATAAAGCCGAGGAACATGCCGTCTCGATGTATGATGTGAACACAGTCATTGTCTTAATCTACTATAAGGATTTGACTCCGACTGTCTGTTGTGATCCCTTTGGGGTTGAACGTGTTTCTTTTGGTAGAGGAAGTTTGACCCCTGTATATGAATCTCCGTTTTTCAGCTTGGTTGATCACAATTACTGATTTATCATTAAAGTCCACCACACAAATATCCAAGTTCCCGTTTTCACTGATGCAATTCTGATTATGAACAGGATGTTCATAGATAGAGGTTCTGTCTTTGAGCAGTATGGATTGTTTTTCTGTGGAGTCTGAGTAACGAACAACCTTTAACTTCTCATCTCTATTACTGTGCATGTTAACTAGAAGATCTCCAGAGGGGGTAGAGCAGACTCCGTAGGGTGTCCAGTTTTGTAGGGTTATAGACTCGGTGCCTTCATCTTTCACTATGTTTAATGTTTTAGCAATTGGATCAGTATACACCAGTTCAACATGCTTTGTCACTGCTATGCCTCCTGGTCGGTTCTTTGACGTGGTTTATATTGTCTGGGGTATGTCCCCCTGTTTGATGCTGAAGAGGTACATTTTATCTCCAGCTCCCCCTGCCGAGTTTATCATTATTTATACAGGCAACAAAGCAAGGACCAAATAAAAATGAAAACGTCTTTTTATGGTGGTGTCAATTTTTGGTTTATAAAGAAAGTGTAATTGCTTCTTGTATGCTTCGTTCTGACTTCATGCAACGGTCCCTAAGATACATCGTTGACTCTTTGGGGCGAGATTTACCAGAGGGTTACAGGGGAATAGATTTTCTGTAGTCTTTTTTCATATCTAACCACAATATGGACAGTAGCTTCGTCAGTTGAAATGTGTTGCAGGTGCAGAGTCTCACATACAGCAAATATAATCGCGCTGAGAAAACTTTATATTGCGGGAGAACTTTTAATCTTATGAAACATTATAGACATTGGAATCATAAACGATTCAAATAATATATACACATATCATTTTTGACGCAAATAATGTAGTGTAAATTGTGTTTAACCATGCAGTGTTAACATGTAAAAGGTAATTATGAATAGATCCAGTAAAATATATGAACGGGTGTATAAATGTAAGGCAGTTACTGGATTGCTCCTTACATGCATTCTACTAGCAAGTAATTCTATTGCATAAAACCATACTTAAAACTAATAATTACGTCTTAATCAATTGTCCCAATATTTTTTAACCTTTAGTTGACATAAACAGCCTCATTGATGTAAATCAATAGTAGCTGGTGTCCAAAACAAAGATTTTATCGATTCGCACATAACCATGCAGCAGTGAAAATGTTGTTTATCTTTGGATTTATACTCTTTAAAACTCTATTTATAGTTATTTATCATTTGTTTAAGATGATAAGTTTTAATATATTTCTGTATTTCTATTTATTACTTCCTTTATATTTGAGGTTCACAAGAAAAGTTCTGACATTATCTATTTAAAACACACTCTATGTTTATTCAATTAACAGAATCACGTTAATTTCTCCTGAATCTTTTAATCCAACCCACAGCCTCCCCTCACTGTCCACACTTAATCCACTAAGATTATCTAAACCACAATTGCCTATAAATCTCAGGAACTGTCCGTCCTGATCAAGGATATGTAGACAGTTATTATTTACATCTGTAACAATGATCTGACTCATGGGGTCTGTCACTATTTGCTTAGGTTTAAATGACTTCTCTCTCCTGGCTGATGTTCCATCGTATCGGAATCGGACTCTTCCTGTCTTGAACATCATAATCATGATGTCAGCATTAAGATCAGAGACACAAATATCTCCATTGTTATTTTCTGCTGGATATAATACAATATACCCTTCTTTAAAGATTAGATTTCTATGTTCATCTCTATAAATTTCCTGTTTCAATGTTTTCCCTTGATAACGTAGTATTTTGTTTTGTCGGTAATCATATACAGTATGATCAGTATGTCGCAGTCCCCTGATCTTGTACAGCACAATCCCCATGGTGTCCAGCCATACTGTTCAGAGCCCTTTGGTTGGGTGATCAGTGCCTCTGACCTCCCGTTTCTGACAATGTTCACTGTTTGATTGTTATAATCACTGTACAATGTATATCAGTTCTCCCTGTCTGCATCACAGAGATGTCATTAGGACTGTAATGTTTTTTGGCGGTAAAAGATATTCCTGTAGTGACCCATGTTTTTCAATATGCATAATAACATTGTCATTGCCACTAACCTAGACTTCATTTGTTCCTACACAGGCAACATTATATATATAGGATCAACTCCAGTGTGGGCTATCACTCTGGCTTGGTCTAATAACTCTCTCTAAGATAAATAGGAGACTTCATCTGTCAGACTGGATAATGATGACTGTGTTAAAGTAGCCTTGTATTCTCCTAACTCTATGTTGAGTTCTCTCCCTTGGACTGTATTCGTTTTCAGTAATGGAATTTTGACATCAATATCAGCAGGTATATCTCTGTATTCAGCCAGTTTGGATTTGTAGTTGTTGACATCAGACACTTTATTAGTCTTTAAGATTTCTTTGTTTTGTTCAACAGTTTGCATCATATCTGGTATAAGATTTTTAAACTTGGATTGCTGAGATCTTAGAGAAGTGATATAGTTTTCTCTTGTGGACTTGATCAAGGAGCTAACTTTCTTGAAGATGTTTTCTACTTTTTGGTGCCATAGATTTCTTTGTTTTTCTAATTCTATTTCCAATTCATCAAACTGTGCTGTCGATGGTGAGATATTGCCCGCTATATTGTCCATTTTCTTCTTGTACTTGGGAATAATGATGGATTCAATTTCTTGAGGGTTTTTTTTTCAATGTATTTTTTCTTTTCATGGAAAATATATTGCATGTCTACAACATTGTGTCTTTTATGGGAACTGAAGATGCATTTTAGACAGACTTGGACATGACACTGTTGGTAGTGGGCCTCACATCTCTGGTTGGAGTGAACTTTACACTCAGGAAACGCTGGCTGGATCTTCCTGTTGGTGAAATGAACAATGTCGTGTGTTTGGGACTTGAATTTGTCCACATGTTTACTGACACAGTCCACACATTAACTAACTTGACAGTTGTTACAGAACTGCTGTGAAGGCTTAGGACAAAGGTCACAGGTTATGACCTCCTGACCCCAGTAAGGAGGAGTTGCCATTGTGTTGCTAAGGGTTGGAACTGAAAAAGTAATTTCAAAGATAGGTAAAAATAAAAGTTACACGTAGTAGATTTATATGTATAAAACGATCATTTTAAACACCATCTGCTTTGTTTTTTTTTTAACCACTAAAATTATAGAACATCTGGAATGTTTGAGTCGTTCCTGTACTGTGTAGATTAACACAAGAAACTATTTTTCTGATTTGAATGGGATAACAATGATGAACTTGACTTGAGGATTCTTTTTAACTTTTTGTATTGATAAACTGTTTAGAAAATCTGTATTGACAACCTTTCAAGACTAATTGTTAGGAAAGAAAAAAAAATGCCTTCCCACAATAATATTCACCAGACTGAGAACTACTTTCGATTTGATGTTTATACAAGTTTCCTAATTACCAACAGTGTAACATTTTAGTAAGCATATGCAGTCTTTTTACTCTCTTTGAAATCAGTGATCGATAGAACTATTGAGAAATTTGAATGGCAATTGTCTGACAGAGTTTTTTCTCCTTGTATATACTGGTTATTTGGTTCTATGATTTATAAATCATCATATCTCTTATTCTTAAAAAAAGCTGTGAAAATATGGAAATCAATATGACATCTTACAGATACTATTCAGAGTTCATATTTGTTGGTTTCTGAATTTCATGGTTATAAATTTGTACATTTTCTCCAGTATCACCAGAGGAAATCTCAACCAAACTGTAATCTAAAGTTTTTACTTCGTGCTGTAGGAGAATAATATCTTTGCATATAATAAAGGGCAATGCTTTTTCTCCTATTTAAATTGTTTTATAATGCCTAATTGTTATATTGACTGATTGAGTAATGAAGATATAAATAAAGTTAAAACACTATCCAATTACAAAGAAATTTCCCAGAAATAAATTACTTAAAAGTTTATTGACATGAAAAATCCCCATAATATATCTAATGCATACATTTAAACAATAAAAATAGCTGCTGAAGCTGTAAATCCATGTATAGCTAATACATTTTTCAAATGATAAATAAATTTTACATTTATTACATTTTTACATGTTTTACTTTATATATTAGGTCTATCAAGACCCTTCTTTGTTGGAAATAAACGAACATGGTCCATAATTTTAGCTTTAATATCATAAGTATGGCACGCCAAATTCACAAAAATGAGCTAAACCTAGTTTCACAATTGATAAACTAGGTTTATCGACTGTAAACTATAGTTTACAAACCGTAAACTATAGTTAATGAGTCGTTTAGTTTTCATCTGCATGTAAAATTACATTTAACGGTTGTTAACTATAGTTTACGAATGATAATCTAAGTTTATCTCTCTGTAATAAGCGTTAACAATAGATTTTGTTGATAAACATAGATTCACGTTTGTAAACTATAGTTAAGAGTTGTTAATCATAGTTTCACAAATCGTGAAACTATATTTATCAGATCGTTAACTATACTTAACGGTTTGTAAACTATAGTTTACAAATCGTGAAACTGTATTTATCAGATTATCTATGTTTTGCAATCACAAATGATTGTTTTTGGTGTTAAGTATAATTTATGGTTGTGAAACATAGATTATCGCGTTAACTATAGTTTACATATCTAAAATATAGATTAACATTGTTAACTATAGTTTACAGTACGTAAACTATAGTTTACAACCGATAAACCTATTTTATCGATTGTGAAACTACGATTTTTGTGAATACACAAGCAATGGGTCTCGTGTTGTAATCGTGTTGTAAATTAATGCTGATATTTGATTCTCTTCACTTGGTTGTCTCTCATTTCAGGAACAAACAGATTGTCCCTTGAATCTATACAGAGTCCAAAAGGGCCCCTTAGCCCACAATCTATAAGGCCGAGGAACGTACGTTCCATCCCGATCTATTATGTGAACGCAGTCATTGTCATAATCTGCTATAAGGATTTGACTCCGACTGTCCGTTGTGATCCCTTTGGGGTTGAACGGTTTTCTTTTTGGAGAGGACGTTTGACCCCTGTATATGAATCTCTGTTTTCCAGCTTGGTTTATAACAATTATTGATTTATCATTGAAGTGCACCAGACAGATATCCAAGTTCCTGTTTTCACTAATGCAATTCTTATTATGAACAGGATGTTCATAGATAGAGGTTCTGTCTTTGAGCAGTATGGATTGTTTTTCTGTGGAGCCTGAGTAACGAACAACCTTTAACCTCTTGTCTCTATTACTGTGCATGTTAACTAGAAGATCTCCAGAGGGGGTAGAACGGACTCGGTAAGGTGTCCAGTTTTGTAGTGTAATAGACTCGGTGCCTTCATCTTTCACAATGTTTAAGGTTTTAGCAATTGGATCAGTATACACCAGTTCACCATGCTTTGTCACTGCTATGCCCCCTGGTCTATTCTTTGACGCGGTTCCTACTGTCTGGAGTAATTCCCCCCGTTTGATGCTAAAGAGGTACATTTTATCTTCAGCTCCCCCTGTCCAAATTTTATCATCATTTAGACAGGCCACAAAGTAAGGACCAAATAAAAATGAAAACTTAATTTTTATGGTGGTGTAAATTTTCGGTTTATCAAGAAAGTGTGTAACTACCGTTTGAGTAACTGCTTCTTGTATGCTTTCTTCTGACTTCATGCAGTGGCCTTTTAGATACAAGGCTGACTCCTTGGGACGTGATTTACCAGAAGGGTAAAAGGGAACGAATTAATTTAACCACTTTACGGACAGTACTTAGCTTCGTCAGTTGAAATGTGTTCCCCAACACAGGCCTTGCATATTTTGACGAGGCATGTATTGCAGTGCATCTCTATAACGGTTTTCTTGCACACATGGAACAGTAGCACATCCTGGGCACTAGTACGAGGATTAATTGTTGTATTTACCTACGTATTAAATTTGAAAAAGAGCCTTTAATCTCTAGGTTTACATTTCAATAATACAATTTCTTTAAGAAATGCTATTCTCTGTTCAGATGTACTTTAATGATACAAGTCAAAATTTTTCATGAATTTCCATTTAATTTGAATCTATGGTTTGGCATTTTTAAAAAAAAACTTTCACTTTATATTAAATATTTATAAAGTCTTTCATGGAATTCATTTCAGATATGGATTTGATTAGATGCCTGTAAGGGCCGGTACACAAGGTAAGGCTTACCTTATAAGTCAAGGAACGTAAGTTTTAGCTGTACCGTGTGAACATCCTTAATACATGTTTTTTTCGAGCCTTGCAAGTCTGACTTAGAAGTAGAACACTGCTCTACTTCTTAATACAAGACTTAGCTGACATTTATTTCTTAACCAATGAAAACCATTTACCCAAAGTTCAATCTATTTTAATAAAACCATATATACACTTTGGTAAATTGATGAAACACAAAGTATATTCGAAGAAGATAATGAATATCCGCAAATACTTCAGTTAACTTCCTCTTCTTTGTTAAGAAGTGGAGATGCACTGGTTGGAAAAACTATTTCAAAGTCCTAGCTAGTAATCTATTATTCCGTTTAATAATGCACACTGTTTATGGTTTAAAAACACATGGAATATATGTAAATGTTGTTTATACTAGTAATCTTGTAAGTCTTGCCCTAGCGTGTGGACACGAGAGCTGCACGTCCTGCTAAACGTAATGTTTTAGACTTATAAGGCAAACCTTACCATGTGTACCGGCCCTAAGACCTCATAGGCGTCGGTACAGTGGGCAAGGTGGGGCTCAGATACAAAGATGCAAAGATAGACATAATATAGGCATTGGAAATTAAGGCTTAGTTTTTTTTTAGTTGGATACCCCCCCCTTTTCAATTGACCCCCCTCCCACGTTCAATTTGCTTCCGACGCCTATATAGACTTAATTTGACTTGTTTATCACTTCCATGGGTTTTATGGCCCTGTATTAAATACCTTGTACCCAAAAACTACCTTCTCGGTATTTTCATGCCAAAGGTTGTGTAACGGGAACCAGTTTATCTATGGACGTAAAGTGTACTCGATCTGTCCCAAAGTATATATATATAAATGATAAACTTGATCTTAAACTTTACTTAGTAATACTAAGGAACAGACTAAGCCCACAAACTATTTAATCGTATAATGACTGGTCCTGTTTGTTTTATTCAACCCAGGTTCTGAGATTCCTAGATTATGATCAACACCTTGAAATAAGAAGAAAATTTAAATTTTTAACATTTAATTTATTATGGTGATAACTGAATAATTTGTAGTTGACAACAAATAACAAATAAGTTTCCAAAATAATCTCAAAATGTAAATAAAAAAATTGAGGTAGAAAAATAAATTAATAACTGAATAAATAATAGCAAAGTAAATAATTTGATAACAAAAATATAATGGAGGAAAAATGAGTGTGATGCCCTAAGAAAAATCTACCAAAATAGATGGGAGTGAGCTTCCATACACCTAAGAGATTTTATGATTCCATACAACACCCTAAAAATTATAGTGAGACTCTATGCAAGTAGACTGAAAATTTCCTAAAGCCCTATTTATTACACAAGGGACAAGGCAATTTAGTTATTATAAATAACACTATAAAGGCCTAGGGATATCTAATTCATCCTTGAACCAATGTGACTCTAGAGCTAAGGACCTTATTACATTTTACAGAATTTAGACAGTGTCCTAAACAAAAAAAATAAGACTGCACGAGCAGTCCGGGATTAAACCCTAAGAGCTAAGAAGAGTAAGCTTGAACCTGTGGGTTCTTTAGCCTAGAGTGACTTGAAAATGCCGCTGTTACCGTTTATATATAAACTCTGACCAATAAAAATCATTCTAACTAAGTAGCTTTGAAATAGTAATGTGAATATCTAAAATGATTTCTGATATGTTCAAGTACTATCTGTCAACCAATGAAAAGTCAGGATACAAAATAAGTTTGGAACGACAGCCAAAATGGAGGTAAATTTAACCTGAGCACATGTGTAAACAAATAAAGTTACAAAGTTACAAATACAGGACTTTTAACATCAGCTTTGCCTATCGGAAAATGTTAAAAGGTATTTAAATGCACTAAATATTCTGTGTATGACAAATTAAATGTACTGTAAAAAACCAAAACCGTCACACTCCTCCCCCCTTAAAACAAAAATTACAATTTATGAATTTTTTGTTATATTAAAATAAAAGGAAATACGGTAATAATCAACTACAATTAAAAGTTCACTTCCGGAACCCTCCCACTGGGCACTTTTCATCACGAGGGTTGTGGTCCTCTGTGAGTGAGAACAAAGGGGCGGCTGTTGTCCTCTGCCTCTCCTCCCTTGCCCTCTCTCGTTCCTCCCGGTGCACTCTTGGGCGCGGCCTTCTGAAAGTTCCTGGGTCCACATATTTGTTATTCAAGACCGTTTCTTTTCTGATGTCGAGTGTTGAAGAAGTGCGGTGCCTCTTCTTCATGTGTCTGCGCACCTCGGACATTTTAATGTCCTTTAGGCTACATAGTGGGCAGTGGTAGAGAGTTATGTGCCTCCTGTGGAAGCGATGAAAGTGGCACCAGTAACTTCCTAACTTCTTAAACAGATGGGTCCCCGAAGGGCATCCAACAACAGGACAGGCCATGCCTCCCTCCGGCCACTCTTCACCCATCTCCTCCTCGTGGAACTCACACATTTCCTCATCATTAGGATGTAAGTCAAGAATATCCTCCATGACTAAAATATTAAGAATAATCATTAACATCACTATGTAAATATATATTTTAAGTTCCTAGTGACTCCATAAACTGAAATTAAATTTGAAAATTACATCTTAATGAAAGATTGTAATATCTAAAAGCTGTCAAATGGAATAAGTCAGACATATCAATAATTACTATCGTGCAATTAATGCACTTCTCAAACACGCACTGTTTGTATGTAGAGGCCTCTACTAATATTACTCCTAGCAATTACAAGTCTGACTTAATGGTTTTGAATTCCAACACAATAAAGGGAGATAACTCAAACTTGTTCATCTACGGAATTGTAATAAAATAATCACAATTTCTCTCAATGAATCATTGTCTATTTTACTGATATAGGATAAGTCTAAAATGATATGAAAAATAACTGTTAAGAACCGTTTGACTTCTAGATAACTAATAAAATGAATCAACTACGGCGTTTCATTTCCAAAATAAAACATCTCTCATCGACTGTATCCAATAAAGTCAAAACAGCAATAATATGAAGAATTTCAGAATGGAGACTTAGAAAACTCTTAAACTTTTATACTGTTGTTTTAGATTTTAGAGAAAAAAAAAATACCTCAACATAAAAAAAAATGGAAACATATTCATTAAGTGCTATCAATACAAAAATGACATTATGTCATTTTAAAATATATATATGTACAAGGGATTTATTGGTTCAAGGAGAATAGATATCCCTTGGTTTAATTCGACGGCCCAACTCTTGACCTTTTATATTCAGGACTGGGTTCTGGAATAAAATCAGCTAAAAATGACTCCTCTTCACTCAAGAGTTCATTATCTACAGGGTCAGGGGTAACTTCTTGAGAAATTGATTCTTCAAGGGGAGTAACTACTGGTATCCAACTAGGTGGGGGAGAAATACCTTCATAAGGTTTTAGGTGGTCTACATGGACTACAATACATGAACTTTCAGGTGTTTTCTGTATTCTGTAGGTCACCTCTGTAAGTTTGTTAATTACTTTGTAGGGTCCTATCCAACCTAAAGCTAACTTAGCTCCTGCTGTAGGAGGATACCATCTCCACACATAATCACCCTGTGAAAAATGTCTAGGTTTAAGACCTCTATCATAATACTTCTTTTGTTTTACAGCGGCTCGCTTCAGATTTTCATTAACAAAATCATGAGTTTCAGAAAGAACATTTCTCAACCATTCCACATATTCAACTGGGCAAGTGGGATTTGGGGTTTCTTGAGGGTTACCTAATATAAGATCAGTAGGACTAGAAATTTCATGACCAAACATGAGCAAGTTAGGTGAACAACCAGTACTCTCTTGAACTGTAGACCTATACGCCATAAGAAGAAAAGGCAAATTCTCATCCCAATTGTTCCTATTCTTATTTGCATAACTGGCTAACATTTGTTGCAACGTCCTATTATATCTTTCTACTAACCCATCGGACTGTGGCCTATAAGGTGTAGTCCTTGTTTTCTCTATACCAAGTTTTTCACATAAAACTGAGAACAATTCTGACTCAAACTCACGACCTTGATCAGAATGGATCTGCTTGGGAACACCAAATCTACAAATAAACTCATTGACAACTTTATCACCTACAGTCAATGCAGTATGATTGGGAACTGCATAAGCTTCAACCCATTTTGTGAAATAGTCGCAAAGAACTATAAGATATTCATTTCCATCACCTGTAATAGGAAGAGGCCCTACAATGTCTATACCAACCCTATCTAAAGGTGCACCGGTAACTGACTGACAAAGTGCTGATCTACCTAACCCTGGACCACTTT